GAGGGCAGCCCACTTGTCGGCAGCAGAGCGCTTGGGGCTGCGAGCAGGTGCTGGGGTGCGGTGCTCCTCGAAGACGAATCCAGTCGCCGCGCTGACGTGGTCGACCGCAGAGCGAATGTTCTTAGGCGAGCGATCCCTGCTGTTGTGGACCGTGGCAGGGTTCTTCACCTCAGATAAGCCGCGAGGGGTCGAGACGCCAGATCCGGCTTCGGAGACAACAGCCTTGGGCTTGGGCTTCTCAGCACTGAACGAGTGGCAGTTGTTCTCGAGCTCAGCAAGGAACTGCGCGTCGTCATCCTCCTCATCCCAAAGGTCACTCCAGCTCTTCGAGATCATGTCGCGCTTCTTACCGAAGACGGACGACATGCTGTTGAAGTTCTTGGCAGGGAGCGAGCCGGAGATAGCAACGGGCCGAGATCGAGTGAAGTTCATCGACTTTGGTTCGCTGACGTCAACCGACTTGAAAGATAAGCCTAAGCCAGAGTCCACAAAAGATACGGCAGAAGCGCTATCTGGCTTCACGTCGTAGGGAGGACCCGGGAACATGTCGTCCTCGTAGATCTCGTCGTCAGGAATGGCTGAGAGCTGACGGAACTGCTGAGGTGGAGACATGGCCAAGGCCTTCGCCCATGGGAATGAACCATTGTTCTCGAGCTGCGGCGTCGAGATGGAGGGAGTGCGGAGGGGCTCACGGTTGGCTCCGACAGCGACGACGTCACGCTCCTCAGTGCAGAAGTCGTCAAGGCTCTCGTCATCGGTGGTGAAGCTGATGACGCGGGCCAAGGCATCCTTGACAGCGTTGAGGTCGCGCCTCTCGGGGTCGATGGCCAAGCACTGCCTGATGACCTCAAAGGTATCCTGCGACATGTTGGGGAACACATCGAAGAGGCTCTGACGGTCGAGAGCAAAGTCGGCGTACAGAGGGTCTGAGGTGGATGGGACAGCGAAGGGGTTACGCTGGAAGAGGATGTTGAGGAGGACGATGCCAATGGCCCAGATGTCTGCCTTCTCAGTAGAGTAGCCTGTGTTGCCAGGGTCGTACTGCTCAGGAGCCATGTAGCGGTCGCTGCCTACAGCAATCTCGTAGGACCACGTGTCGGTAGTGGCAAGACCAAAGTCGCCCAGCTTCATGGAGCCATCCTGGGTGAGGAAGATGTTCTCGGGCTTGATGTCGCGGTGGTAGATGCCCTTCGAGTGGATGAACTCGACGGCACCGACAAGCTGCATCATGAAATCGCGCACGTGCTCAGTCTCGAGCGGGCCCTTGCCAACACGGATGGCCTCGTACAGGTCGCCGTTGGAGCAGAACTCGAGGACCAGGTAGATGTGGTTCTGGGTCTCGAAGGACTGGAGCAGGTTGACAACGTTGGAATGGTCGCCAAGGTGCAGATGGACGCCAAGCTCCTCGGAACGCTCATCGACTGCGAAAGCAGAAGGGCAGTTGATGGCGGCGGTGCTCTTGGTGATGACCTTGATGGCAACATTGTCGCCAGTTACGAGGTCCTTGGCCTGGAAGACCATGCCAAAGGAGCCATTGTTGAGAGGGGAGATGGTCTCGTATCGTCCATGTAGCACAACGCCGTCGTGAAGATGATCGCGCATGCACTCCATTGGAATAGTGTGTAGTGGAACGGGGTGGCTGTCGTGGTGAAGCCGAACAAACAAAGGAACAGGAAGAGGGGAAGCTCGATATGCGGATAAACAATGGGCAGACAGCCGAAAGCCAAAAAGCGATGCTCTATCAGACTTTTAGGTGACGGAGTCTTGGGAAGATATCAATAAATGGTTGTAATGGCGGCCGATGGTTATGGGATAGGTCGGACCGGATATGTCGTAAGGCAGCAGCGGGAGGCTGGAGAAACAGAAAGCAGTCGTCGGTGATATGCACAGGAGTCCGTCGACGGAAACAGCAAGGAAATGCTCAAGAGAGTGTGGTTCTCATTTGTCGGTATTAATTGCGTATGGATAGCTCGAGTCAACGAGCTGTCGGGGTGGGTGGAGGAGGGATGGAGTCGTAGACGTCCGGAAAGGAAGAGGTATCGCTGCGTAAAGAGAAGAGAGTCGTAACACGTGGAAGTGGAGGTGTCGTCGGTAGGCAGACAGTAGGGAGGTGTCTGGATGACGCTATTGACGGCGTGAGTCAGATGGCACGGGCTCACGCGGAAAGGGAGCTAGCAGGCTGTCGAAGGTGGTCGAGACGATGCTAGTTGGCGGTTCGCTATGCTGGATTGGATCGAAGGAGCATCAAACGTCTGCCTGGGGAAGCTATTGCGGCGGCGGTCGGGTCGAAGTGAGGTGAGGTGAGAGATGGGGACGAGCGGGTACTCGGACTAGCTAGCTGTCGGACGGATGTCGGGATGGCCAGCAGCGGACTCTCAATATCACATCAAATCAGACCCGGCGGTGGCAGCTATATGGTCGAGTAGATGCGTGTATAGCGTGGTTGGCGTGGGTGTGTCGGGAGTCGGCGGAGGGCGGAAGGGATGGTGTTGTTGACGTTGTTGACGTCTGAGCTGCGAGCGGTTGCGGCTGCGGAAGGAGCGAGGGAGGAGCGGTGGTAATTAAGGCAGCAACGGACGGTGAGGGTTGTGGTGGTGATGATGATGAGGAAGCAACGCTAGAGCTTGCGAACAACGACGAGAGCAAAGTAGGTGGGTACGTGTTATGGAGGCATCGGGAGATGGTGGTGAGGTGATAGCGGGTAAAGGACGGCCAGCTGGGTATTAGAGGGCAGCGCGCCAGGAGCTGCTGCCCTCGGGGGACCCACCAGTGGCAGGGGTCGTGCTTTGGGACTAGCGGGCCTGGCTAGGGATGGCTACGTGGCTTGCATTGGATCAGGTGCTAAAGCAGCACGAAGACCTGGCCAACCGGCGCCGCCACTGGCCTGCCAACTTTCCATGACTTTCTATCGGTTTCCACCGTGGTCGTCACCCGTCGTGCCTGCCATCACTTGCGCCCCCGTCCCCGTCGTCCCTGCTTTGGCAGCCGGTGGGTCCTGGCCATATGGCATCATCTCTTGCACAGTCATCGGCTCCACCCTGATCTCTGTGCTGGCGGACGAATGCGCAGAAATTAGCTATGACGAGCGCTGAAACATTGTCCTGGCCGACGCGGACAGGGCGCACTTCCAGACCTCGTCCAGCCTGTCCAGCCTGACCAGCTGTCGTGCGCCAATGCTGGCTTAGCCCCAAGCGCCGCCTCCAGGGCGCTGCTGATCGTAGCCCGTTGCACCGTAGCACCCAACTGCCACCTGGCCTGTAGAAGCCCGCGCCCGCCCTCCACGAGCTGCTCCAACGCGACCGTTATCTCTCGTTTCGTGATGCTTGCCACTTTGTCCCGCATGAGCCTTGCGCTCTCTGCACCCGACATTGGACGTCCTGCTGTCGTGTGCTCAGATTGTCCGCAGTGTATCCGTCGCGCAGAACTGTGTTATCCAGGGGCTGATCTACGCCCCAATACAGCATGACAAGTGTTTCGTCGCTAGCTCGCGGCCATTTGGTACACTATTCGGCTGACTACTGTCTATCGTCCCTCGACATCGGCCTCAAGGGTCGGGCGGGTCGCGGCAAACATTAGAAATCTGGGGAAAGCTCATGCTGCGCTGCGATGCGATGCCACTGCGACTGCCATTATGCATATGACCCTGACAGGCTCAGGTGGCATCGCGCTGCTTCATAGTCGCGGTTCATGCTACCGCTCTACCTGAGACAAAGCCGTGTATGCGCTCACGCCGCAATAGCCTCGCGCGTCCATCCCGCCTCGAATCCTCTGTTTGTTGTCTTGCTGCGCAGGATCCGGAGTAAGCTTCCCACTGCACCCTAAAGGAGGGCTCGCAGTAGCTTGCAGTAACTTGCAGCCTCCTGCATCCACAGCCACCCAGAGAGCGTCTTGGACAGGCACTCGGCGGGCTACTGCAGGTAACATGCACCGGGCCATTTCTTTGTACCCACTCGCTGTACCTGTCCCTGGGCTACCCATGAGCGGTGTAGAGAAACAAAGACAACACACTGTCCCCCAGCCTATAGCATTTTCAACCTTTTGCGTTGAGCCGGGAGGATTTGCGTGACAGGCGGACGTACAGTGGGTCGGCTGCGGAAGCTATGTGGAAATCTTGCGACATCGAGCATCGACATGGCCGGGTTAGCCAGGAACACCCGTCCATCTCACCATGGTCGCCCGCAAACACGAGTGAAGGTGTGGATATTCTGGGGCTCGCATGACGGTGTGCGCCTCAACGACCAGCCTCATCACGATCATTGCCACGAGGATGTACGATCATTGCAAGGAAGTCGTTGGGGAAGAGCCATCGTGACTGTACGCGACTGCCAACCTTCAACCCCCGATGCCCGATGACTCCTATGCTTTTGAAAATTTTCTTCTCGACAGCACGTTCACGGCTGTCAGGCCTCATCCGGCATCGTCAAGGAATATTCAAGGAACTTGTTTACACATGTCAATAATACACAACTTGCCGTGGTAACCTCACCGCCATGCTTTGAAGTTCCCGTCCGCAAGCCTCGCACCAGTTAGCTGCCAGTCCAGACACACAACTACAGTTCGCAGTATAGAGGCGCTATAGCAGAGATTTTCTTCTCACCGCCGTTCACCGCCCTGCACTCAACAACAACAAGGAAACAATGTCGCCCGCGTCCCTCGACACCGCGCGCTGGAGCCAAGCAGAGGTAGTGTTGCTCGACATTGGTAAGTCGCTTGCCATTCTCGAGTCCCGCATGGCTAGTCGAGAACGACTGCAATCAGCCTCCACCTGGGCACCAACCTCGCGATGCATGCAGCTGTCTAGTCAGCAACTTCCCGATGGCGATGCCTGCCACCGACAGCACCTTGCACTGTCTGTGTTGCTGCGCTCTCCCGGGCGCTACCCCAGCTTTTGCCTGCGCCACCCAGCTTCGCCTTCCAATGCTTTGACTGGCCTAAACATCTCAGGAGGCTGACTGCTGCCAGAGGGCACTATTTCCAGCATCTCATTCGTCAAAGATGTCATGGTAAGCCTTCATGTTTCTATTCTCGCGTCTCACTTCCCAGCGCTTCCACCTTCCCTCGCTGTCATTCTGTTCGTCTCGAGGTGCATCTTCCCCGCATTCGGAATCGTGATCACCACCACCAACCTCTGTCGAGAATCACGCCGGCCCGCCCTCCCATGCCAGCCTGGTGTCACCCGGCAATGATGAAGCCACTCATGGCTCCCCTCGCGTCTTTCGCCTCCCCTGAGTTCTAGATGCTTTTCCGACCTGCACCTGCCACTCCAACGATGATCTCGCGCTTCCAACCTCCGTCATCTGTCACGCGACGCCCGCCAGTGGGGATTCCTCTTCGCGCCGTCTCGCTCACAATAGCCGCAGTACCCGTATGCACTAGACAGTCTCACAAGACTAGCACGCAATTCGTGGTCGGATGCCGACTTCCAAACCCTCATCGCATCGTTCCCAGACGACGCCAAACGCAGCGCCGATGCGCTACTCGCCCACGTACAAGACCTTACGCGGCGCGATGTCAAGGCTGTGTACTTGAAGCAACTACAAGGTGGGTAACAAATTGTGTGTTTCAACATGGACGACGCATCCCGGGCCTCCCATGTCCAGCCAAATGATTGCCAACACCCGTGGACCAAGCGCCGACACCGCGCCGCTCTAAAGCGACTAGCTCGATCGAAACAGAGTAATGATTCGATCGGCCAGTCACCACCGGTAGCATTATCGCGATAGTCGCCGCCTGTCGCAGCGACCCTTGGGGGTGCCAAACCCTCTTCCTGTCAGCTCGACGCCGCTCCAACACCCTATTCCGTCCATCGCACCACAAGCGTGGCGATCAGCCCATTCTAAACGCTGCTTGCGTACTACCATCACCACACATGCACATTGCCTTTATCGATCTTATCAATCATCGGCCAATACACATAGTTGCACCGCAAAACTAACCCCTTTGCTCGCAGGCCACCTATGGACAACCGGGTTCCGCAACGGTGATCTCAAAACCCCGCTCTTCAGCGATGTAATCCCCCAACTCGAGCAGTGGAAAGCAGCCGGCAAAACACTGGCCATCTTCTCCTCCGGCAGCGTGCAGGCTCAGCTCCAGTTCTTTACCTACGTCACAGACGGTCCGAATACGCGGGACATTAAACCCCTGTTTGCCGCTCACTACGACACGGTGAACGCCGGTCCTAAAATGGAAAAGGCGTCCTACGAGAAGATATGCCGTGAGCTGGGCAAGGACGTCAACAAAGTCGCTTTCTTGACTGACAATGTAAAAGGTATGTGGTATTTTCGTGAGGCTGTCACGGCGGATGGTGATTTGAAACAACACACCACCGCCCTCTCACCGCCCTTACATCTGCACCCCACCACCGCATCTCCAACCCACTCTTTGTCTCGCTTTCCGAATTCTTTACTTACCTATCATCCCACCATCACACGTCCTTCGTCACGCCGCATATTCTCGTCTCTCGCCTACTGCCCCTCTCGTCCACATCCGCGTGTCTCGTTCCACATATGTCTTTCCGATCACGCGACCCCACCATGTTTCACATCGATACATTCTCTCCATCGCACGTGGCTAGCTCCATATGCACACTTCATGTATAGTGACTAACATGTTTTGTGATTTGAATAGAAGCTGAAGCGGCGATGGATGCGGGTGTCTATGCTGTTGTCGTGGACAGGCCGGGTAACGCGCCGTTGTCGGATGAGTCGAGAGAGACGTTCGCTGTCGTTGAGACGTTGGATGCGTTGCCTTGAGCGGATCGACGATGAATGGGGTTGTTGAGGCTTGGAGCGCTGCGAGGAGGGTTTCGTACGTGGTTGTCGTTGTTGCGACACGGGTATCGAGGCTTGATAACAGAATGGTTCACTAGATACACAATATCAATATAGACTCTTGCCTTCATTCAGATACCGTCTTTGTACAGTGAAGCTCTCATTACATTTACTCCGCATGTGGTCCGCCGGTGATGCGACAAGACCCCGTGTCTGATTGGCAACATAGCTCAACCCGACATCGCAAATTATCGCCGTCACCATGAACTTGTCAACAGTTATCTGAAGTAATGTAGTATTGCGGATTCTTCCCATGGTCCAGACCACGCAGCTGAATGATATCTTAAAGAAAGTTGAGAAGTGTGCACACGTAGTTTTCCACATTTGACTCTACACACCAGACCACGAAAATAATTCCTCCACACCGCAAAACCCCAAAATTTTCGCGTAACTTGTCGGCCTCACAGAATCCTCATAATTCCTCATAATGTTACAAGTTCCTGGAACAGGAAAGCGTTGTGGTGCTAATTATTTTCCCCTTTCGATACCTTCCCCCCAACCACGATGTCCTACAACCCACTCATCCACTCATCCGCATTTCCACCAATACACCGAAACCATAAAATTAGAGAAATACACGATACTATATAGCACGCAATCCTGCCAACGAATAAAATTGGCACCATCGCGTGGTATATAGTATCGTGCACCTACCCAAATGTCACACCAAACCCCCAAAAAAGCAGCCAACAAACCTTACCATCCCCCCAGAACCGTAAAATAACACCTGGAGAGGTAGGTAACCAGCACAGAGCAGAGATTCTAAATCGAGTTGCTTTGATACCTCGCTCCGAAGATTCTAAATTGAATCAAAGCCAAGAGACGTATCATAGCAGATCAAATCAGAACCCCTCCTTTGTCCTGGCCTACCTCTGACTGACATTACGCCAATCTTTGAGATTTCGTAAGTTGAAGGTTGCTACGGCAATCTTCAACTGACAAAATCTAAAAGATTGGGGTGATGGTTAAGGTGGGAAAGGTGTGCGGGCTACTCACACTACACACTACCCCGGTCTTGTAAATTATATCAGTCGAAGCAGCGGCTGCTATGATAGATGGCTATCACAGCAGCTGGTGCTTCGACTGATATAATTTACAAGACTGGGGGAGGGGAGGAATTTCGATACGAAAAGTGTGTGCCCGTTTGATTACTCGATCGTGCGGTCGTCGGAAGATAGCAAGCGTGGAGGTTTTGCGATGGCTGGCAGGCCCGTTCCAGTATATTGAGAGAGTGTGGTAGAGGAACCTTTCCGTGTGCGCATCCCTAGGGGCAACTATCGTCCACATCGACTGTTGATATCCGTTGATCTCATGGAAGCTTCTTCTCCACCCTACCTGAAGCTTGGTAGGGTGGAGCAGAAGCACCCATGAGATCAACGAAATCCGCCGACGTTTGGTCAAGAACGGCTTAGTCGAAAGCTCGACGAAACCATCGATTAAGCCGTTCGTGGCCGTAGCGTTCAGGTCGACTGTTGATGTTCGTTGATCTCATGGACGCAAATTTCTCCACCATACCAGGCTTCACGGTATGGTGGAGAAATTTGCGTCCATGAGATCAACGAACATACACAGATACATAATTTCGCATGATTATGCCAGTGATCTATGTCCGAAGCATCGCGATTTACGCTCGATGTAAATACGCGGTGCTTTGGACATAGATCACTGACATAAGCATTGATCATACGCAGATTCATCGCCCGACCTGTGGTCAACGAATGGCTTAGCCTAAGTCCTGAGACCATCGGCTAAGCCGTTCGTGACCGCAAGTCGGCGAGAGCCTGCCAGTTCCGTGGACGGTTCGTTGGTGTTGTTGTCTCGGTCGTCGCATGCGCTCCTCGTTCAAAGGCTTGACGATTGATGTTGACTGTATGGGACAGTTGCTCATAGATCGGTGTAGAACGAGCGGGTGCCGGCTGCAAGGGTGTCGCGATCCTACGACTCAGCTCCAGACCCGGACTTTGTGAAAACCTGATCCCCTCTCGCATTCCACCTCTTCACAAATCCTCCCCAGCGACCCTCCTAACCCACTCCACCGTCTCTTGCACACGACTCAAAAAAGGACTATGTCCACACCCCAATCTAGTCACCTGCACCTCCCCACCTTCCGCCCTTGCCATCTCAATCATCTTCTCCTGCGCAACGACCGGCATACTCCTATCCTCCTCGCAAACCAAATAAGCACTAGGAATATTCTTCCACGCCGCCCCTGTCGTCTTCGCATAAGCGCTCGCTAGCGAATGCGGTTGGATTTGCGAAAACCAGTATGCCTGTTCGTCGGGAGGAAGGTCGGAGTAGAAGACATGTGGGTCGAGAGCGTGGATGTAAGGTCCGGAGATTTCAGTCCAGGGAGGGAAGGTGTGGTTTACCGAGTCCATTAGGCTGACACCTTCGGGTAGCATGCTGGCAGCGATGTATCCACATCTCACCACTCCACCTGTTTTCCCTTGGGCTTCTCGCTCGGTTTTTCCGAAGCCGACGAGAGCGCTACTGGCGACGATGCCACCCCAGCTGTGGGCTAGTACGACGACGTCGTTGCCGGAGTCGCCGATGGCGGTGTTGATCATGGAGTGGACGATTGCGATGTCGGCTGAGAGGTCAGTGGTAGGTGTTGTGCCGCCGACGGAGGCGAGTTGGCGTGCGTGCGTTGTGTATCCAAGAGCGTGCAGCTCGGTAGTAAGAAGAGAGAAGGCGGAGGGTGTATGCCAGGCGCCTGGAATGAGGACAAGTTGCGGTTTAGTCATTTTGGTGTTGGTGATGTTTGGAAAGCTCGTTGGAGGGATTGTGTCAGTGATGCGTCGATGGGAAGGAAGAATGCCAACAGGTCTGCTTAAAAACCTGCAAAGTAGGCGACCTAACGCTGGTGTAGGCTCTAGGGCGTTTGGCCTTTTCCTAGGTCGACGTATTCGGAACTGGGAAACAGGCAAGAACGACCAGTACTAGCAAGTTTATCGCGCACTCCGAATGCGCCTTCCTTCGACAATGACAGTTGTGCAGTCCAACGTAGTAGTGCCCAGAAGTGGAAGTTTATCGCGCAATTATCCCGATGGACCGATTCCGCACGAAGAATGCTATGGCCCGGGGTCCTTGGGCACCGGAACTCCGAAGCTAGGTCGTCACGGGTGTGAATGGATAGGGGAACGGCGGCATGCCTCGTCCATATGGTTCCCCGAAATACAGCCTTATCTCCACTCTCTTTGCTCGACGTAGGCATATATTCCTCTTGACCCGATGCTTCCATCGTATCTTGACAGTCTTTCTACGCGTACTTCCTCCAACCCACAGCGATATTGACACCAAGTGGCTGCATTGTTCCTACTCAGACGGAGAGGAGGCGGTTATTGTGAGAGATGTCCTCCGTCCGAAGGTTCTGCTCTATCCTATAGCTCCATTTTCCCTCCCCCTCCTCTTACAAGACACCCCCTCATATCTGATCATTTCGTCATGGTGTTGATACCGGCACGTCTGTCCGAGTTGGGTGCGGTGTTCACATGGCGTGCGTCGTATTGCCCGATGGCATAGCGTTGTCCGTATACGTCCTGTCCACTGTCGTCGACTGCAGTATCCGTCGAAGTGTGCTGAACAGGCAAAAGGAAAAAGGTGCAAATCGAAATTGGTAGTGTGGAGTGGGGCAGACATGGTGTGAAGGATTAGCGAGGTATGTAGTGCTCACGATATGCTTCCAGCCAATCAGAGCTAGAGGCTAGGGAGGGCATCCTTGTCTTCCTGACAGCGCAATCATTCACATCGTGGAACCCAGGGTTGTATGAAGATTGTATGAAGACTTATATACGAAAAGCTGGAGCTTGGGTATTGTTGTGTATCTTTTGCCGTTTTTCGGCAGTGTGTGCGCCTCTAACGCCGACGGTGCCTAAAGTGCCCTCCTTGGTACATGCGGAGTGCCGACTCGCTGCTTGTGTCTAAAAGAATCTCCACCAGATGAAGACGATGATGATGAAGGCTAGTCCGCCGATGGGTCCGTACTGCGCATCGTTAGCATTACAAGTCCACTGCCAGGATGTTCCTCTGCTCGTTACTCACCTGCTTCAACAACAACTCCCAGTTGATGCGCACGGCAGCCTTCTTGTACTTCCTACTGTCCTCCCGTAACCGACTCGAGATATCGCCCATCCTCTCCAGACTGTCTCCTCGATACAGCAGATCCTCAATATTCTTGGTCATGACCTTGGTAACATCCTTCAGCTCATCGTTCAACTTATCTAGATTCTGTGTCGCCCTTGAATCTTGGTATGTCTTCTTTGTGCTCTGAATGAACTGATCGAACCCGACGAATTCGTACGGTCGGCATGTGGGTGAGAGGTACTGTTGCGGTTGGTATGTAGTGGTGAATTCGCGTTGGAGGTCGGAGAGGTATGTGAAGGCGAGTTTGCGCGGGTAGGAACGGTCGCATATGCAGAGGAAGCAGAGGTCGCCTTCGATGATGTAGCTGGTGGTTGCGTTAGCATGTGATCGAGGATGCTTCTCTGCACGTAATGGCAGGGGCTATGCGCATACTGGAATGTGTAGTTTCCGCTCTCTATACTCGCTTGTTGTTCGGCGTTACGGTTTAGGCGTCGCTGTAACATCTTTACTTTGTTCGTGGCCTCGATGAACTCGGCATCATTCTAGAAAATGTGAGCCCCATTTTTAGGCTACGTGAACAGCTAGAGAGGCGCCGTTACCTGGTTATTGTCGACCGAGGCTACCAAATGAAGGCCTAGACATGTATCAGCACGTGTGCAGCCTTCAATATGGCTGAGTTACTGACCATCGAGCCGCGATATTATGGTGTGTTTGATCATGGCGGCGGTTGAGGGTGCGGAGAATTACGGCTGATGAGTGTACGATGTCGTCAGATAATGTGACGAGCGCAAAGTCAAGCCCGAGGGTGAGTAGTCGCGTGGTAGGGATACGTGTCGGGCTGATGATACCAGATCGCAAAGATGACGATGCGGAAAGGTCGCGCGGGAAAGCGCACGGACGCGCCAACGGCCATCACAGAACAACCAGCATGCCCTGACCCTTCAATGCACTGTCCTTCATGACTCTACAGACGTGTTAATCCGAATTTCGAGGCCATAGAGACTGACTGGATCAATATCGGTATCCTTGTGACGGAATATTTGGTACAACCTCAACTCGACGCCCCAGCCACCATGCGGAGCCGAGCTTCTATCCTCGCGTACCCTTTCAACACCTTCACTCTATGCATCGAGTGGCGGACGCGCTTTCAGCCCTGATTGAAGTCGCTCGATGCTCAAGCTTCCCAGTAGAATCTGACCTTAGCCATTGGTAGATCAGCCTTGCGGAACGCGATAGCTACTGCCTCAACACAAACGACATCGCACCGGCATTTTGCCAGCTGCCGCTCATACCAACCTACCCAGGTAGTCACTTGCACTTACGACGTCTTGCAAGAAAATACTTGCTTAAGTTCAATACCAAACTCCTGCATTCAGTCCAAACGACAAAATGTCGTTACCAGTAAGGTGCGTTCCCATTCTTTACTACACCATGTACCGTGCGGCGTCTTTACGACTTGTCTGCCAAGCGCGTGACTACCATTGTGCAACTGCTCAATACGACCTCCACATTCACTTCGCGCGCCGACATTCTTCTTTTCACACGTGACTGTCACTTGGTCCAATGGCTAGCCTATTGTTCGCCCGTATCCACCGTCCGACAATAGAAAGCTCAACGCGGATTGGCAACCCATATCCCGTCTCCCTCAGCTTCGATTGACAACCATAGACCTTCGTCCGCCACCCGACTCACCTCTCCACACGACTATCAACCGACACCTGTTCCGCCCGCACCAAAATCAGAGCTAACCACCGCACCACCTCCAACAACACCAAACAAACGAGCCAAGATGCACCACTCTGACCCAGACTCCTCACCTCTATCTTCGCCGCCCTCTTCTCCATCTGAGCAGGTCTCACCCATCCCCTCAAGTCTGCCGAGCCAAGTCCCAGATTCTGCCATCTCGACAACAGAAAACGACTCGTCCATCATGCCATCGATCGAGTCTCCATCCCTAACTCCGCAGGCGCTGGCGCCTGCATCTACTACTATGCCGACATCCAACATGGGCGCTAAACGCGTGTCTAAGCAGAGCCCGAAGAGGTCTCGCGATGAGGTCGATGATGACGACGAAGAGCCCGCCTTCGGTACACCGCCTCCCAAACGCGCAGCCAGGAGCACAAGCTCAGCAACAAAAGCCAAGACTACGAAAAAGAAGACGCCTGCTCCAAAGAAGCCTGCGCCCAAAAAGCCGGCCCCGAAGAAAGCCGCAGCCAAGAAACCCGCTCCTGCGGCAACACCCAGCTCACGTCCCTCGCGCAACCGCAAAGCACCAGAGCGGTTCGAGGAGTTTGAGGAAAAGCCCACCCCCAAACCTGTCCCGACCAAGAAGGGACCAAGTAAAGTTTTCGACCCAGTCTACATCACCACCAACTCCTCCAGCCGTCTAGTCAAAGCAGACATCTACGTAAGTCTTCGCACTTCACTCACCACCCACACGTCAAAGAGCTCACACATCACAGCATATGCTCCTTGAAGGACCAGCCTGGACCAGCCTCAGCGCAGAGCAGCAAATTACACTCATCTCCATGCTTCCCGACAATACCACGCACCAAGCTCTCCTCGCGAAGATCAGCGCCGGCAACACAGAAGACACACGACCTTCAGCCTTCACGCTAGCAAACAACTGCTTCCGTACCGATGTCGCCAAGTTCCAGGAAGATCTCAAAAATGGGCACTTGGCGAAGACGTGGCAGGCGGCTGCTGAGCAGGCTGTGATTGAACGTGCGGCGGGAGAGTACGATGAGTGGAAAGCGGCGGAGGCGGAGTCGTGGTGGGGGCAGAAGAGCAAGTGAGGTCTTTGATGGCCAAGTATTGAGCTTATGATGATGGCTCAGACGGAGGTTCTGGTGCGCGCGCTCCATGCGGCGTCAAACGGGGCTCTGAAGTGTGGGTTTGGGGGAACTTGGTGGGCAACTTCGAGGTTCAGTTGCTACATCTAGTACGTATCTTCCTTTCTAGATATCGTTTCTGCAACAAGTACATGTAAAAGTTATCTCCCCTCTGCATTTCGACGGTCTCCTAGGATTCAGCCACGACATTCCCTTTTTCCCTTTGTTCCTTTGTCAGGTTCATGATCGCTTCAGTGAAAGACCAAAACTTCCCCAAACGTGACATTTCCGTTACGTCAGCGCACACCATTGCGAGTTAGCGAGTGTAAACAAGAGTTTTCCTGTTTCCTTGCATTCATTGAGTCGCGACTCTGCTACCCCTCTACCTTGGATATTCTCAGCCCACTGCGACGACACGACAACAAGCTCGCCTGCAGTCACCCGCTACCACCGTGAGATTGAAGACGCTGAGGCTCAGATAAACAGCCCAAAGAAACTACACCGCAACCGGACAAGCGAACACTTGCGCGACAAGGTCTTTACCGCAGTCACGCTATCAGCGTAAGTCCAAACCCCGCCTCATCATCCCACCCACACGATCACTAACGTACCTTCAGCGCTGTGACAAGTAGCGAAGACGTGGGCGTTTAATTCCCCTCCAAATCGCGCCAGAGACATCAAGTCTCATACAAAGCGTGAGTACCAACTACACGGCCGTCGCGAGGACCGCCGCCACCACTGCCATAGTGACCGCGACAAACACCATCAAGAAGACCGCAAACACAACATTAACAGTCACCGCTTCCGCCACCTTCAACAACACAGCCGCAAAAATGGACTCTATCGTCTCACCAACTCTGTTCAAGATCGTAAGCGTCGGCTACACTATCATGAACAAGGCCAATTCCGCTCTCGAATATCGCGCCCTCAGATATGCGTTGTACTCCTACATGACCCTTCGGGGCACTGTAAGTGTGATGAGGATTTGGAAAGGCGCAAGGACTCCACCAGGAGTCGACCATAACACATGGAAGGCTATCACTTGGCGCGTTTATAATTGGCTTCAGATTACGCTTAAGACTAATGCTGGTCTACGGAAAGAGCTGGAAGTTGCGAAGAAGCAACAGAAGGAGTACGAGATGAAGGAGAAGGCGAGATCTGATCGAGCGCGTCGGACTACAGAAGCCGACGAGATTCCAGACTTTGCGACACCTGTACGCGAAGAGCCTACACAAACATCAGAAGTGGTCCGCAAATTGCAGGAGGCACTCAAGGACACGACTGAGCGCTTGAAACGCAGCAATGCGCAGGTCAAAGCGCTTCAGCAGTCTACGAGCAAGCCTGCGCACCCGAGTAGAATGTCCACCTCGTCTCACAACTCATCAACTCCAAAGCGAGATGCACTGGAGGATATGGGGCATCAACTTCGGGCGGCGCGGCAAGAGGCTGTAGACGCCAAGATGGAAGCTGCTTCCAAGGATGAGCAGCTACGGCTGGTGCGGGAAGAGGCCGATGGGGCTAAAGCTAAAGTCGCTTCGCTACTAGCTTCTCATGGTCAAGAGCCTCAGGCAGTACCGCAAGAGATTGAGGCGGTTGAAGCGAAAGTGGCTTCTCTGGAGGCCGAGCTGGAAGCTGCACGACAAGAAACGCAGAAGGTTAACGTGGAACTCCTCTCAGTCAAGGAGCAATTGGGTTGCGCGAACAACGCTATCAAAGTCGCTGGATCTGGCTTGGCTCAGGTGAAAGAACTCGTGGGAAAAGTCCAAGAAGAGAAGGAAGAGGCAGAGGCCAACGCAGCTTCTCTGACCATGCAGTTGAAAGCATCCCGAGAAGAAGAAGAGAAGGGCAGAACCGATGCAGCTTCGATGGAGAGAGACTTCCACGAGGTGCGACTACGACATAGCAAAGAAGTCACCGCGCTCAAAGAGCAGGTCAAGGAGTGGGAAGGCATCGCTGCGGAGGCGAAGGAGGTCAATGACAATGTGCAGACCGCTCTCAATGACGAGAATGAGGAGCTCAAAGACCAGCTTAAGAAGGAAGCTGCTCGTCGCGAGGCTCTGGAGATGGAAGTGAAGAAGCTGAAGTCGGAGACTCACGGCGCGAAAGCTACAGAGATGGCTGTCACCACGGCGAAGTCGTTCACTCCATCTGAGACGCAGAAGCTACCGAGCGCGATCTCTTCCAACCATCTTCTCGAGAACCAGCCACGTCTCGTCTCCGTCGCCGGAGTTACAAGCCCATCTACACCCACCCCCACTACATCCGCCCCTCCAGCCACTCCCGATACAACCTCGACGCCAAAGGACCACAAGAAACTCACCGCAGACTGGAATGCTAGGACGATCACACTCCCAGCATACATCGACGGCTTAAATGAGTTGAAGCGAAAGTCTGATGATGAGAGCGAGACACCCAGACCGATTAAACAGCTTCGGCTTAGCGGCGAGAACACCGAGCTTCCGATCGGAAATATACTGACGCCTGGCGGTGGACCGGCTATCAAGTTCGCCGTACAAGAACAGGTCCAAGTCCAAGAAGAACAGACAGAAGACGATGGCGACGCATCTATCGACCTATTCTGGGATTCCTTCGAAGGTGACGCAGACAACTCAGGCACTTTCACATACGGCTTGGGCGACGAAGTTGGCGCGGAGGCAGCAGCTCTTCCCGAGCAAGACGCACCCAAGGGCGAGACCAACACTCATGGCGATACTCTCGTCATTGACGGCGATACCATCATCGATGAAAGCGATCACAGCAACGACGATCTCTACGCCATGCCTTCGCCGAGTCCGAATGAGCAGCCGCCGAAGGTCATCAGCGATATCCCCGGCATCGAAACCCCCGATATCGATATCCCTGACATCGAGCTGACTCCAGCTACGAAGCGGAAGATTGGCACCGAGGGCGATGAGGAAGCGTCGCCAAAGCTATCTCAGATTCCAAGGACTAAGGAAGACCTTGGCGGTGAGCAGACTTTGGCTTTGGAGAACATGACTCCAATTGCTGTTTCTCGCAAGCCTGCGATCGTTTTAACCCCGGCTACGAAGCGGATGTTCACCGATGACGACGGTGAAGAGCCGCCTCCTTCATCTCAGATGCCACGTAGATCGTTTGCGCCTAGGTCATCAAAGGCGCCGAGGACGACGGTTGACCTTGGTGACGAACAGACTCCGACTCTGGACGAAATGACCACAGGGAACAATGTCGATGCGCCTAGTGAAGGAAACGAGGCGGCTGAAGTCCGCGCCACAGCTCCATCTCTCGCTGAGAACGCAGGCGCTCCGTCAGAGGCTCCTTCTACATCGGCCGAGTCAGCGGATCCAACCAACAACCCTACCATGGGCAACACCGACACCACAAACGTATCCAGCACCGCTCGTCTTGCGCCACCAGCTCCATCCCAGGCACCCAACAACAGGAATCTTCTCCCCGAACCCGTCGCAAGTCCCGGTAGGAGAACGCGCAATGCCGGGAAGCCCATAGGATCTCTCAACGAGAATGTGTTGAGTAAGATGGCGGCGTCGCCGATGAAGGGTGAGAAAGAGACAGTTGAAGAAGGTGCGAAAGGACGTGGCAAGTCACCGGCGAAGACCAGGGCAAAGTCGCCAGCGAAGACAGCAGTGAAAGCACCGGCTAAGGCACCGGAGAGATCGCGAGTGAGTAGGAGCCCGTCTAAGGGAAAGGGGGATAGGCGATAGGTTCATACGAAACCATCAGTGACGACGAGAACGGAGAACGGAGTACGGAGAACGAGGACGAGAACGAGAACGAGAACGGAGAACAATAACAAGAACGAGAACAAGAACAGAAACGACAACGACACAACCGCAACAAAGATCAGCGTCGCAAAGAGACGAATAGATCTCAAGGCCGCATTCGCGAGGCTCGTGTATATGACACGAGGATACGAAGCGATGCGGTTTCCCCCATCAAAAGAAAAAAACGCTCACAGGACTGATAGCAAAGGGGTGCTGATCGGACGTTGAGCAGAAGAGAAAGAGCAGGAGACTATACCAATCAGTGCGGCACCGTTAATCTGGGTGCTGGCATTGATGGCGAGGTATAGGACGGATTCAATTTAGTGTGACGATGTGGTGGAAGGGGTGGAAGGGATGGGAACGATGGTTCTGGTGGGTTTTGATTGACGGGTTTGCGATGGTGGTGGTGACATGGATCGATGGAGTGGTGTTTTGGTGTTTTGTAGCACATCGTAGTTTGGAAAGGAGGACACGATGAGAAAGAGAAAAGAGAGTTATGTCTGAGGGGCGGGATGGGATGGTTGTTACTGTTGAATAAGAGAGATGCAACATGTGGAGGTTGTGGAAATGGGGAGCGCTGACTGATATTGTCAAAGAGAGATGGGGCGCGACAAGGGTGGAAAAGCAAAAGTATTGCAATCTCCAGAGAGGGATGCACATGAGATAAATTGGAAAAGGAAGCGCTGCTATCTCCAAAGGAGAGCTGGGCATAAGTAATACAAGAGAAAATGATGAATGAGACGTGGGCGAGTGTGGTCAAGCCGTGGAAACATGGATAGAAAGAAGTGTATCACTGATCAGATTGAGTAGCACATTGCCAGACGTCTGAGTTGAGTAAGGCGAAGGTGCGCTTGCAGCAGGTTGCGATGTGCCGTCGGCGCTATCCTTTTCTTTGACTTAGATGGTAATTACATGTATTCACGTTCATATTAAACCCATGGTTACTGTCGATGTAGACTTGATCATTCATCTCCCTATAGCTCCCGTCTCAGGACTACATGACTGCGAAGGATCACGCCTTCAATACCCGAGTGACCCACACTGTGCGCTAATCACTAGCATAACTTCCCGCCTACCAGTGGTAGTCCACCTTGGGAATAGCTTCTGGCCGAGGCGCACCCCTGGGCGAGCCTGAACGACCGCGACCGCGACTACTTCCTTGTAAATGACTACCTGCCCGTCCACGAGACCTGCTTCCTCCGCCAGACTGACCACGACCGTCCATCTGACCAGGTCCACGAGAGCCGAAATCCGAGTAACCATCATACTGCGGGATAGCCTTCGTCATGGGCTGTGCTGGCTTTGGTACGAGAACAGTGGCAAGAGGTACAGGCACGCCACCGTCTCCAGTCGCTTCATGATCGCTCCAGCCCTCGGCATCGTCCTTGACCCTCTGCTCGGCATCCTCAAGAGCAGCCTGGAGTTTAGCACTCTTCTCGCTCTCTCGTATATCGTCCAACTCTGGTGAGCCGCGGAGTGTAGCCTCCTTCACGCAGATGGCTAGCATAGCCCACACCGTATATACAGCATCGTTGCCTGCGTTATGAAGAAACCACGCGGGGACATTGAAAGCGTTCATGATCCGGCCTAAGCTGGTAGGCTGCTGCTCCCGACGCCAGACTTTGTACATGGTCGCGGTGTCCATGGCCTCGAGGATGTTCTCTACCTTCATCGGATCGTATCCAAGTTGCTGGAGGTAGCGGACGTCGCCCAGAGTATCATGGCCGAGGAAGACAATGTTTCGCTTCTCAGTGGGATCAAAGTGGCTGAGGAAGTCGTCGTCGTCTTGGGCTGCGAAAGGTGCGTGGAAACAGGCTGCGACATGACTTGCAGCTTCTTTGAGTGATATAAAGGTCGAGTGGCCGAACTTGAAGCTGTCAGGATGTCCAGCAACGAACTCGGAGTTGACTAGGTGACGATGTTCCTTGATGCGAAAGTGACGCGCACGAATCTTCTCTCTCCAGTCCTCGCCGTCCTTGCCAGGCGGAACACCAACGAGCTCGCGTGTATCCAAGGTGGCGACACCAACTTCAGTGATCTTGTGATGGGCCCTCTCATACGACTCAACATCAACACAGACGAAGACGACGGACTGATCGAAGGAGAATGGAGCTGGCTGGGATGGATCGACTGCCGGAGATAAAGTAGACGCTGTCGCATCCTGGATGAAATCGCGGAGACCGAGATACCTTGACGCGCGTTTGAACTGGTCAGTCATTGACTTGTTCTTGCCAAGTCGCTCTTGCTGCTTCTTTGCTTTGTTCGCCTTGTTCTTCGCTTTCTGTGCTTCAGCCAAGTTCTCCATCAGTTGCTTGAAGTCCTCCAGAGTGGGTTGTTCAAGCGGTGGGTGTGAAGATTCGCCTGCCGCGCGAAAGTGCTCGTTGGGGGCGTTCTCGGCCATGCTATCGACGTCCTCGCGCGAGTGTGATCGTCCAAGGTATCGGGGCAAGCAGCGGGGATGATCAGGGAATTGAACGAGAAGGCCCTGGACATGACAATTAGTCTAAAGCTTCACGCAGTACGTATGAGTGGGCAATGTTACCTCCTCGCGCTGCTGGTCGCTGATCCTCAAAGAGAGATTGAGGTGCTTGTTGATCTCACCAAGCAAGACTAGAACTTGACTCTCGCGGACGAGTATGAAGGGCTTAGAGGTCTCTTCGATATCCCAGACGTAGTACCTGGTCAGATTAGCAAGTGATCGGTGAGAGTCGTCGCGGTGATATCCTTCAGAGTAATCATGTCAGGTGAACTTACAGGTCCCACTCTCGCTGCCAAAACTTTCCTTGGTCGAAAAAGGCAGATGCAATGTCTTGCATATGACTCTTACCGCAGTACTTGTAGGGGAACTTGGACAGGGCCTGGATGGGTGTGAAGTGATGGCGAGGTGAGGCTAGGTCGCCACGTTGAAGATCGGTAGCCGGAAGACCAGCGGCACCAGTTCGAGGAGCTGGGGCTGAGGCGGTGGATAGGCGCATCGAGTCCAGGTTTGGGTTGAAGGAGCTATCGGCGTCTTTGACCCAGACGTATCGGCGCTCGGTATTCTCGACGGCAGGCGGTGTCTTTATGGACGTGTCGATCTTACTGGTTGAGGTTTGTTTGCTGGCAGGCGCATGTGGAGGTGTGTCCTCAAGCGATACACCGCCAGTGGAGTCGTTGTAGCTGGCATGGTCAGGTTTGGGTTCTGGGCTGGGCTCAGGTTGTGGAGACACGGGGCGGTCAGGAAGAGCATCAAGGTCTGTTTGGACGAACCTCCGAAGATGCTGCAGCCGTGCCGAAGCCATGGTGGTTGTTTGACGAATGGAACTGGCGGAAATTGTTTGCAATAGAAAGCGTGAAGATATATGCGGGGATCGCGCTTGGACAGACGGATGAGGGAGGAGCAAACGACAGGCACGGTGAGCGAGAGGCTCACCCAGACATCTGAGAGAACTGGAAAGAAAGCCTGACTTGATCTGATAGGGGTCTTTACAAAGGAGATGTATCAATTGAAGGCGCACGGTGTAGATTTGAGAAGACGTGTGTTTGAAGGTGCATTATCACGGAAAGTGCATCTTATGCCACCTAGATGTCCGTGGAATTACATACCGACTCAGGTAGGTGCAGATGCAAAGCCTTCCCAGGCATAAGGTCAGCGTGACACATTTTCTTGCCAGTAAGGTGACGCACGAGAGTGAAGGACGATACAGTTGCTAAGCACAGATGAGGTGTGCGGGGCGGGCGGGAGTTGCGAGCCGGCAGCTGGGCAAACTCGCAAGCGCATGGGCGTTCCTGAGAGATCGACGTCAGGCGCGCCCAAAGCGGCTAGCACAAACTCCCTCCGCGAACCTCAGTGCGACGAGCTCCCATCAGCCGCCCTATCTCGTCAGCGCATATCGCAACTCGCGCCCTCACGATCGCGCTGATTCTCCTCAATACTCTAGTTGACGCGTGGCTGGAGAGTCTGACGCGTGCGTCGCAACCCTCCATCTACTCTGCCTCCCCGCGATGCGCCATGTCTGAAGCCGACGATGCGCCAGAAATGGCCCAACCCGCCCCGAACCCGGACGCCCAGACGACGGTCAACGACTTCCTCGACTACACCGAATTCTTCCCGTCGGACCTGGTGCGCTCGCTGACGCTGATTGCCGACCTCGATTCCACCTACTCGGACGCCGTCCAGCAGGTGCACGAGCTGACGGTCCAGTATGGCAAGCTGCCCGCCCTCCCCGAGCAAGAGCGTCCCGATCCGGTATTACTACGCAAGAACATCGCCCAGCATCTTCAAAAGGCTATCAATCAGCGAGAGTTTGCCTACACGGAAGCGTCGCGGCTGTATGAGGTCACTGTCCGCCACTGCCAGCGCTCCTCAGTCATCAAGCGGAAACTCCAAGCCCAGCCACAGCCGCCCTCACGCGACCCGACGCCCCCGCCAGTCTCTCCCAGCGCCCACCGACCCGTAAACCGCGACTACATACGCCCCGCCCATCTGCGCCTCACCTTCGATGGCGGCCGACATGGCGCCAACACCTCACGACCCCGAGACAGGCACCGGAAGACCGCCGTTCCTCTGCCACGCGGACGTGGACGTCGCGGTGCAACATACTCGTCAGACTCAGATGGTGGTTCAGGCATCGATGTGGCTTCGCCCAGGAAGCGCAAGGACAACCGGGACAGACATTCAAGGGCAACTGGGGGCAGGTCGCGCGCTGCTGGCGTACTCGGTACCAACGTGCACAGCTCCATCGCCGGCATATCCACCAGCAATGCGCTCGCACAATTGGCCCCACCACCAGCCGACGCGAAACCCGGCAGCAAATGGGCGCCCTGGAAGAAGTTGACCGAATACGAAATGGCCGTCCTGCGCAAGCAGATGAAGAAGAACGCCGTATGGACTCCTAGTCAGACCATGATGATACGCGAGCTGGAGAAGAAGCACCGCACAGAGGCCGACTACGAGAGGGAAAAGGCTCGCTGCGAGGCGACAGGCGAACACTTCCTCGACGAAGAGCCCGAGACGCTGCAACAGATTATGACAGCTTCTGGCCTGGGCCTTTTGGCACCGCATGGCCCGCAGGCAGCAAATCCACCCCCGCCAATCGAGTCTGTCGAGGAAGATTCCAGGGAAGAATCCGGTCCAGTCAGCATCCGCCTCAAGCCTGTCGCGGCAAAAGAAGGCAGAAAGCTCGACCGCATGTCGCAGCGCCAAAAGGCTATGCACGACGCCCAGGAGCTCATTGGCGCTTCTGAGAAGGTAAAAGAAGCTGCTAAGGAGCTTACGGAGCTCAACTTCAGCTCTAGTGTTGCAACTGCGAATCAGAAGAAGAAAACTCCGCTCAGACTATCGAATAAGCGGAAGCGCGATGCATCCCCTCCACCCACCACCGACGGCGCCATCGAGACCACCAGAGAAGCATCGGTAGCAACTCAAGACAGCGCGTCAAGGCCGCCAGAACCCAAGCGCGCCCGTCTGCAGCTCATTGCTCCTGCACCAAGCTCAGTCGCCTCCCCGATACCGACTCCCAACTCGACCGTGTCCACCCCTCGCGATCGGACGGCCTCCGTTGTGCCCTCCCCCAGAGTAAGCACACCGGTACCAGTCCCAGAGCCTGCAAAGCCATCAACGAATGGGAATACCGTCCAAGTGCCGCTTGCGCCAGCAGGTCCAAGCACGCCGAAAGTCAACAAGGCCGTCTCGAAAGAGGCAAGTCCTGAGCTCACACCCATTACAACGTCGCCAGTACCGCCAGAGGAGTCACCTGCTGTGGCACAGGCTCCGCAAGCACCAGTACCTGTTAAAGCCCCAACTCCTCCAGCTTCAGTCTCAGTCTCAGTCTCAGCACCAACAGCAGCTTCGACCAGGCCCAAACGCGAATCCGTTGCTCCGAAAGCTCCCACTCCGCCTGTGGCCACTCTCCCGCCCACGAAGTCCTCAAAGACACCTACACCCGTGCCTGAGCCCCGCCCAGAGACACCTGCAGCACCGACCCTACGCCCTCGCTCCGCACGCGGCCATGTCCCCACACCCAAGGCGCAAAGCGAAGAGCCCAAGCCGAACGAAGAAGGTAGGATAACTCGCGAAACCCGTCGTCATAGTGTCTTTAGCCAACCCGCAACCACGCTCACAGTACCTGCACCCCCACCCCCACCTACCCGCACTAGTAGCCGGCGGAAGCCTCCTCCAAAGGGTGAAGTCACGAATGCAGAAGACGGCCAAAAGACAGTCACAAACGTCAAACGCGCCCAAGGCAGCAAGAACAAGAGGAAGAAAAAGGCAGAAGAAGAGGCGGAGCAAGCCGACGACATCGATCCCAATGAGCCCCGATACTGTATCTGCGACGACGTTAGTTACGGGCAGATGATATCGTGTGATAATAACGTAAGCCTCCCCCTTCCCTTATTCCATTCCACAAAACTCCTCCCCTTTCTACGTCTTGTTATCATCGAAACTAACAAACATCCCCCCCTAGTGCGATAAGGAGTGGTTCCATCTCCCCTGCATGGACATGACCGAAGACGACATCCCCTCCCGCCGCGCCAAATGGTACTGTCCAGACTGTCGCGTTACACTGGGCACAGATGCTTATGGCAACCCTTTGGTTCCGCCTCCGCTGCCGGGTCGCCGCGGTAATCGGTAGGTTCTTCACCCTTTTCTCGTCTTCACGGGCCCGACGGCAAGATGTTAATGTTTGTTTGAGGGGTTGGAGTACTTAGTATGGTTGATAGGTCGTCGGCTTGAGCGGAAGGAGGGATAGGATAGGATAGGATAGGATATCGGTATCCAGAGGAGGGTCTGGGGTCTGGGGTTTGGTGGGTGGTGGCGTTGGGGATGGGGATGGTATGGAGTATGGATTGGTATGGTATGGGATGGATTGGTATGGTATTCTTCACCCCAGGGAGGGCGAAGGTGTATCGAACATAGGGTTCTGGGTGTTTGCTGGTATTCCTTTGTTTTACTGGCATGGTGTCTGGAGTTGACAGCGTATTTTTGTCTACGGACAGCTGTCTCTTGGGTATGAATGTACCCATCTAGTTTATCGTATCACCATGCATCTTTGGAATCGAAAGGGCCTTTATGTGCTCATTGTTTTCTTGTTGATGAGAAGTGCGTGTGAAAGTGGGAGGGGGCTAGGGGCTGGCAGGTTCCTGTGTGTTGTGTTTACCCGGCACCTGCAGCTTCCTAGATTGTGAGGTTTGCTGGGTACTGCGCACTGATGGTAGCTAGGGGTGATGATGGGTTTGTTGATGGGGAAGGAGCACTCATGAACACTCAGCCTCCATATCAATTCACTTCAGGTCACTCTTCTTGCCTTCACAATGGGCTACTGCAACGCATTCACCTGCAGTTCTCGCTGCCTGCAGGAGTAAGGCCGTTGCTCGCCTGCCTCTTCCTGCCTTGCACCTTCCTCCTATCTGTACCCGGACCACCGCACAGTTTCCCCTAACGCTCAACTGTACCTCACTTCTCGACACTCAACCATCGCACCACAGTCACCCGATCGACGTTGACCCGTCAATCCCAGATCATGACGTCTGAGAGCGCACTGCTGCAACTGGGTGGGTGGGGGAGGCGGAGGGGAGGCGGAGGGGAGGAGGTGGGGTGGAGGTGGAAGAAAATGGTTCCTAGTAGTCATTCCCTATATCAAGCTTCTTTCTAAAGTCGAACCCATTCACTTCAAGTTACTGTTTTTGCCTTCACGATAGACTGGTATGCATTCACCTGCAAGTCTCGCTGCCTGCAGATGTATGGCCGTTGCTCGCCTGCCTCCCCTACCGTACCTCTTCCTCTTACTTCTTCTACCTGACCACCGCCAATGATCCCTAACACTCAACTGAACCTCACTTGCGATCTTCAACTACTACACACAGTCACCCGATCGACGTTGACCCGCCATCCCTAGATTATGACGTCTGAAAGCGCACTGCTGCAACTCCCAGAGGACATCTTCCACGACATAATTGTCAACTATGTACACACTGTTCGTGTCAGTGAAGCTTCGGCTACTCGTGCAGTTTGTAGTAAGATATACATTGGCATCATGATATCAGTCCGTATGCGCTAACGTTTTGTAGAGGTATTCGACCAAAAGATCCGCTACCAAATCGCCAATCACTTGCCTTTTGTCTACTTCGACTATGAATACGAATCTTTCCAGGAAGATTCCAGAGATTGCGAAGCTGATAAGAAAGTTCTACATCACATGCTCCCGGAAATCCTACAAAGCACTGTTCGAAAAGCCTTTAACGATCCGCTTGTTGCCTCTATCGAGGCACGCGCTGAAGCGGTCCTCAAGATCGAAGGCCGTCCCCACGATGAGAAGACCAAAACTCAATACGTCGAGTACATCTTCCAGTATGTGACCCGAGGAGGCAAGATAGCAGCTATCGATCGGGCACTTCGCTCGCCCAGCGACTATCCGCTTTCTAGTTCCACAGAACGGGCCGACCTAGTTGGCGCTGCCGCTGTAGGTAGCCTGGCGGTGGTGAAGGATCTTCTCGAGGAGAACGAGTCAGACTGGCCCTCGTGGCCATACTTCCGACAGCATGCGACCAACGACAACATCTACATAGATCCTCTTCGAGCAGCAGCGTCTAATGGACACATAGAAGTCGTACAGCATCTACTCAAGGCGCTTAAGGATTTCGGAGGTGCAGAAAAGTGGACCGACACTTTCAAGCACAGATTCCAATGCATCCTTACCGCGGCTATTCAATCCAAACACCGCCAAACAATCCTTACGTTGGCAGTAGTCGCTAGGAAGAACGAAGTCTGTGACTCCAGCTTGACTCACGTGGGTCTAGCCTGTGCTGAACTCTGGATCAGGACTGCCATCAAGACCGGCTGCATGGATACTTTCAAGACTACTATGGCGGTAGTTGGCAGTACTGCCCCCATATCCGCAAAGACACTCGTAGCATATGCGATGCTCTTCGCATGCGAGTACGGCCAAGTGGATATCCTTCGTCATCTCATCGCCCATAACCCCACCTGCTTCCAGCGGGAGGGTCCCGTAGCAGGTTCGGACATAGCCCGTCGGTACAAGACTAAAGTCGAACAGACTTTGGGTTTGTCCTGCATGCAAATCGCCGCCCAGTACCTCCAACGTCGCATCATCGATGTACTCCTCGAACATGGCGTTTCCATCAACGCAGGCTACCCAATCATACGCGCCATGGAGTTCGAAAACATCTCCATCGTCAAGTACATGCTCGACCACGGCGCGGAGTACAACCGGCATATACATAAGGAATGTCTTATGCAGCTGGGTCATGGAGCCAATAGAGCCTTGAGCGAGTTCAAGGAGACGGATATGTTGCCTGTTGTCTTCTATCTCGTGGCTAAGCATATGGGAAAGCCGCGGTATTCGTTTCGTAAGAGCGGGGTGGAGCAACGCCTTATGGGCTTTGTTGAGGATATGGAGGGTAGTGAGTTTTGGAGGGGGAAGGTTGAGGCTGTACTTGGGAAAGAGATTCTCAATGAGCCGAGATGCGTGGAGTATCAAAGGTTCGTCATGAATGACTCGTGGGAGTGCTATCGGCGGAGAATATAGATGGTGTTTGCGAGATCATCTTCAGCGTTCACAAATACCTCGTCACATACGTGATGCAGCAGTATACACATGTGGCGCAAGTACTGTGATAGGCCGATGAGATGACTTGGTGGCGACATCAACGATAGCAATTCTGGGCTGTGTAGCTCAAAACAAGGTATGGCCTTCGATCAGCCTAGACTCCAACTCTTTTCCAACGATCTCCTGAGCTCGCAAATCGATAAAGAGGCATTTTCCAAGAGATGAATAAGGTGCAGCTGGAGTCGAGAATGTCACAACCCCACATTCCGATTCGTTCTTAGCGCATGGCTCTAGCACTTGAGGGCTAGCGCAAGCTTCATTGGTGCACCTATCATCCCCGGGCCTCATCATAGTCCGCGGGATTCGTCCTACTAACACCTCACTCATCAATATTGCTCAGCCACAACGCCCTGATGTTCAACCCGTATCTGCCGTAACGCCGTTGTGCCGACGCATCATGACCTGCGACGATTGGCAGATGGATTGCGACGATTGGCGGTCGGGCCTCCCGTGCCTGGAGACCGGATGATGACCGGTGGGCGGAATTCGTCAGCTACACCTTGTTCCCACGTTTGCGCATTCGCGCAGTGGGTCTGACTGCTTGTGACAGCCGTCAGGCATCCTTCAAGACTGCGATGTCTACGACGACGTTGCCCTCTCCTTCTGCTCACACCCTGCCTTACTCTGTCAACTGCGAACACGAGCATTCCCCTCGGACGCCTCTAACAACTTTGCGCAATGTTCGCCATGGCATCATGTAGCCATGCGCAAGCCGGCCTACCAAGATTGAGCACAACCAAGCGAATATGTAGAAGGGATTCGCTGTCTTCTTCAAGGACCCGTGATTCGGGCTACAATAGCGACCCTGATTCTCTCTCACCCTTGGATGCGGGAACGTTGGATCAGGGTATTACCTACTACAATTTCTAGCGAGAGCTCAGATCGCTAATGGCGCAGCAGACATATTTTTCGGACATCCTCCCTGTGTGCCGAGCATTCTTGTCAACAACAAGGCTACCTTTCTCAAGAGATGCACCGTCGATAGGCCATGGTTGGTTGGACAGAACAACATCACCAGCAACCCTGCAGAAGTCGTCACCAACCAGACATTCCTCGACACCACGCCTCCAGAAGCTCCAAAAATAGGATCTGTCAAGACTCTTATTGATTGTGCACGTAAGGACAGCCCTAAAGACAGGCCAGCATCGGAAGACGAAGATATAGAGAGGTGGATCGACGACAATCTTCCATCAGCCAAGCGTCCCAGAGAAAGAGTAACATCCATCGTCTCCATCTCATCCACCAGCTCTTGCGACATGCATACCAACACGGACGTCAGCGAAGACGAAATGGAGCATGATGTTCGGCCAATACAACCATCTCCAGTACCCATGCAGAAAATCATTGAGCTCATCCTGCGCAAGGTCGAAATCAACCTCCGCAATGCAGCTTACAAGCAATGTACTGGACGCAGCGCCGCGCACAGCCAAGCTAGATCCACGCTGCCTTCGGGCCAGAGTAGCCGCAAGACGTCTGTGAGCTCAGGTTCAAAGCGCAAGTCCCGTTTGGAGGGCACCCCACCGCCAGATGATGACGACGGAGATGGCTCAAGCAAGCGACGCCGTGGATCAACAACAACTACCGACGAGTCCGAGACCGGTGCGAGGTTCGCGTGTCCTTTTTACAAGCACGACCCGGATCGGCACCGCAACAGAAGAACCTGTCCCGGGCCTGGCTGGCCGACCGTTCATCGAATGAAAGAGCATCTCTACCGGTCACATTCCCAACCGATATTCTGTCCAATTTGCTACGCGACCTTCAAGTCAGACAAGGAGCAATCGAGTCACGTGCGTCTACAGCAATGCGAGAGATCATTACCCCAACAGATCGAAGGGATCGACCGCGAAACTGTGTGGACGCTGAGGAAGCGCACCACTGCACTGAGACTAGAGGAAGACAAATGGAGAGATGTATATCAGGTTCTCTTTCCAGACGTATCTGCCGCCGAGATACCCAGTCCCTGTAAGCCAGCGCGTCACGCTGGATCTTTAACCTGCTAATAAATATCAGTCTACGATTGCGACTCGCCTAGCGAAACATCGCGACGCTTCCGCAGAGACCTTCTGCGCCGCGTACAAGAAGAACTACTCGTGGAATCCGGACAAGTCCCCACTCCAGCCGAGCAACAGCTCCTACAACGCGTGGCCCACATCGTGCGCCGTTGCGAGCACGATTTATTGAATCAAGCGCAGCCGCCATCTTCCCCACCCTCCAACCCAGACCGACGTGCAAGTGCCAGCTCTATAAATAGCTCGTACCAAGCCACGCCCCTACCCGCAGCCACTCCGGCCTTTCAGAGGCCATCCCTAGCAGTAGCAACAAACGTGACTGGTCGGGAACACAGGTATGATTCTCTTGTTGAGGCAGATGCAGCGCCGTATATACCAGAGCCTACAATGGAGTTTGGTGATGTGGTTTGGAATGATCCGCCGTATGTTTTTGGCACGGGGATTAATTGGGAGGCTGTCTTTCCGCCTGCGTCTGAGACGCAGTATTTGGGGAGTGATGAGGTGGGTACGAATTTTTCGGTGCCGATGTGGACGTAGGCAGTATTATTGCATAGGGGTAGAGATGATGTTCATGGAGTGAACAGGATGGATGCTTTGGGTTATATGGTGGATTCAAAGATTTCGTAGATACAGTCGCGGAACATACAATCGGCTCTCCATAATGGTGTTGCTCGACTATTCATGACAAGGCAGGGCATGCCAAGCGAATGTTGTTGCGACGTCATGAACCAAAAAGTCATAGCGCGGTCCGAGTCATGTGTCGCGTCTTTCGTCTCGCACAGGGTCTATACAAACTCTCATCGCGCCACCATGGCACCCAGAATGCGCATACCCACCGTCGAATTCCGATCGCTCCTTCTGCCCCCCGTACGGATCCCGATACGTGCCCTCCAGACATTGTATCGCCCGCAATGCGCCCCTCACGTACCGCGCCCCGCCTGTCCCACGCAGCGCCTCGAGCAGCGCCGCGCGCTCAACCTATACAAAACAGCGAAGGCCAAGACAGTCCTCGGACAGCACAAAGTTCTCAACTTCAGCTCGTGGGAGATTGAAATCCTAGCGCCACTGCAAAGCGTAGAGCACCGAGTCAAACTATGGCAGACAGACAAGAAGGCTAAGAAGCTGTCCGTAATAGCGGAGAGCGCCTCCTTCGAAGAACTCCTCACACAACACGTCGGACCCGGGAAAATGCTCTACTGCCTCGGCGAGATCAAGAAAGGAATGGCAAAGACACACATCGACGACCCAGAGCGGCCAATACCCGAAGAGTTGCAAGACTTCGCCATCCACAACGCCCACACATACCGAGCCCCAAAGACCGCAGGGCAAAAAGGCAAACAAATCGGCGGCCTGAAAAACATCATCCTCAACGAGTCCAGCCCCGTCGAATACTTCAGAATGTGCATGGACCGCGCCTACCAGTTCATCGAAGCCGGGCACGCCGTCGAATTCCGGCTGCGCCTACAGGGCAAGATGCTCCTGAAAGAAGAGCGCATCAAGCCCGCGGGACCAGAGCGCTGGCTATGGATGCACACGCACTTCCCGCACCTGCGCCCGGAAATCATCATGAAGAGCATGCCCGAAGACACGCGCTACCTCATCAACCCCGTCTCCGACGGCCGCCTCGTCCAATGGGTCGCCGTCGCAGGCCACAAAGCCGAACCAGCCATCAACCTCGACAAACGCCTCTTCCGCATCAAGGACTCTGTGACCTCATCCATCAAATCGGGGAACCAGGCCATGTTGCCTAGGATTATGCGGCAGCAGCTAAGGAACCAGGGACTGGAGGATTATAGTATTAATACTGGGTTGCCGAGGGAGCAGGCGAGGGCGAAGCATGGGAAGGGCGGGAAGAGGGTACTGAGTGGCGAGGAGAAGAAGTGGCTTAAGAGGGATGAGGAGACGGATGGGTTTTTGGTGCCGGATCCGGATGCGGGGTTGCCGATTAGGAGGCTGGATGATAGGAGGGATAAGAGGGGTGAGGGGCAGAGGTGGGAGCAGAGGGGGTATATTGGGAATAAGAATAGTCCTAAGTATTAAGGGGGTTAGGTGGTTTGGAAAGTTAATGGGGGGACAGATGAGGAGCGGCTTCTGGACTTCGTTTGAGAGCTTAAAGTCCATCTCGCGAGTAGTCTTTGGCTGTGTATGCTGGGGTTTGGCTGTGAGAGAGAACGCGCTGCAGTCTTAGTGGTGTACCATTGTAGTAGTAACTGTACTTGTCTCAAACTCAAAAAATCAAAGTCTTGAACAGCAGTATATTATACTCGCGATTTCTCTCATTCGTGAGAGTATCTTTTCGTCTAGCTCGTCGATGTTGCGGAAGTTGTGAGTGTAGCCTGCATACTCAAATATTGAGGTCAGAACGGGCTGGGACAGACGCAGTAGTAGTAGAGAAGTTGTGAGTGGCTCGTCTCGCCTTGCGTACAACACTCTACAAGATGTACCGACGTCTATGTGGTACAAAAACAATATACATGTTTCAGTATCCAACAAATGGGTCGTTTCACTAGACTATAGCGTATGATGATATTTAGTGTTGGTGTTGGTGACGGCTTGGCAGGCAACGTTGGGCAGTGACCACATCTCTGGGCCGGACATGGATACGGCCGATCATGTTTATCCACCCAAGCCACTCCTTATTCCGCGACCGTCCGTTGCACATGCATGCGTGCTAGTGAACGACCTGCCGCACGAATAATGCCGCGACCCTGATTTCTCCCGCCCACTCCATCAATCCCCCAACTATCCTAATCCTGAGTCCTCCCCCGCCGCTCGTCATCGCCGCCGCTGCCACCGACGCCGAGGCCGCGTTCTATATCCCAGTCAATCGCTGCCGCTTACCTCGATCGAACCCGCAACGTCACCACCCTGAGCCTCGATGAACGCAGCGCGGCAGGCGTGTCGCCCCAAGCACCAGGTCCTGGTCCTAAAATGCTACCCCAAGGTGCAGAAGAGCGATGCCGAGGCCAAGGCCAATTCGAGCGAGTTGAGCTACCTGCTCTTCTACGCCAGCACGCGCCGCAGTAAGCTGCAAAAGGTCGTCGACTTTCTGGACAAGCGGGCGACCAAGGATGTGTGGAAGGTCCGGACAGGCAATGTGCAGGTCACGATGCAGATCATCAAGGCGCTGATCGAGAAGTGCCCGCGCGACCTCCCCCTCTATGCCACCGCTGTCCTGCATATCCTGCGCACTATCCTCAATTCCAACGACGTTACTATGGTCGAGGAGTCAGTGCCCACCTTCGAAGCGCTATGCGCGCATCAGGACCCCGCCGCCCTCGCAGCCGACCAGGACTACATCAAGAAGTACGAGGAGATTGTACAACTATACGCTCAATTCGCGTCCAAGGAGACGGTCAAGACGGGCAAGGCTCCTGTCAGCTGGCCGGTCGCGATCAGATACCGGAAGGCTGGGCTGCAGGCGCTCAAGGCCATTGCCTCGTCTGAGTCACTGGGGTCTGAGACCGGGCGTCAACTGGGCGCTGTCATACCAGTCATCCTCCTCAACATACACTCGGAGAGCGGCGCGTATCTCAAGCGATTGGAGACGCGGGAAGCCACCAGGGGCGAACATGAGAAGGAGCTGGCATTGCGACGGCGGCAAAGTGTGTCCACCGCGCGGACCGACGACGACGACGGCGACCCGATTGCGGCATCTGGTACAACGGAGGATGCGGATAAGCTTGCGGAAGAGGAGGTGGGAGTACTCGCGCTTCAGGCCCTGAGGAGCATATTCCAGGGTGTGAACAGAGGGCAGCTCCGGCTTGCGACGTCCGCTGTGCTCAAGTTCATCGGATCACACGTCAAGAGCTTGCAAGAAGCTGCACCGAACGAAAGCAGCCATTGGGCCACTACACTCATGGCCATGATCTGCGCATGGGTCCCCGTCCAAGACCGATACACAATCCTAGTCGGCGCAGTGGAAGCCCTGGTCCGCAGTCCAATCGTAGAAGATGACCTCGAACGGCAGCTGACTCTGGCGACGATCATCGACTACCTTCTAGCCTCGACGATCAACTTCATCGGACTGAGTGTCATGGATGTTCTGGTCGGGCTTATTTCTCACTCATTGCTACTCCTCCAGCTCGGCGGGCCGGGATCAAACATCGTACCGCATCATCAGCAGACAACATCTGTCGTATCGGAGAAGGAGGGTAGCAATGAATCGTCGACGGCCAATCTGGATAGCGTCGTTATGGAAGTCGTCAAGAAGCCTTCTGATGCGAGGATGCAGCTTCTGGATACAGTGCAGAGATGCATGGCGGATCTCGCGACGCATGTATACTACACTGATCAGATCTCTGATATGGTGGAAGCGATACTGAGCCGACTCAAGCCATCGCGGCTTTCGAGCGTTTCCTCCACCACTGAAGCGATACAGAACCCCGAAGGTGCGATAGATGCTGTTGCCGATTCCATCAGTATGCAAGAGAAGACGCATGTGGATCGGTTCTTCTCCTTCGAAACAGCACGCATCACTGCTCTCGATGCTGTCAAAGCCATCATCAAGACGGCAAACACCCGAAGACCAGATGGCTCATCGGCTTCTGTGTCGCGGAGCAAAGTCGGTGTGAGTGTTTGGGAAGGTACACAATGGCTCCTGCGCGATCCGAGCGGTCAAGTCAGGAAAGCATATGTTGATGCGCTGATCACTTGGCTGAACACGGAGAAGGACAAAGAAGATTTGAAGATTGTGGACAACTACAGGCGGAAGGAGAAGGAGAATGAAAAGAATGCGCTGGCCAGACGTGCGGTCTCGAATGCTTCGAACAGGGAGAGGGTGTCGAAACGTGGTAGGGACACGTTTTTGCCATTGCTCCATCTGGCGGTATACGAGAATGCGCTCCACTATGTCGACTCTGAGGCGGACTACCTGCTCCTCCATCTACTGCTCACTACTCTGGTGAACAGGCTCGGAGTGAACGCAGCGAGGAGCGGATTGCCAATGATCATGCGATTGCAAGAGGACATTGTTACCATCGAAGATCCCGGTGCTAAGCTGCGCCTGGGAAGCTTGGTACACGGATACCTCTGGGCACTCAGCATGACCTTGGACTTTGAGGTTTCTTCGGTCGGTCGCGCCCTTCACAATGAGATCACGCGCAGAAGCAGCAAGGGTCTCTGGATGAAGAGCATACGCGTCCCGCCAATGCCGATTGAGCTGATAGAAACGCCTCACCCCACACCTGTCGCTATTCCGTCAGAGATTGTCGAGAACGAAGCGCTCAAGCCTTTTGACAACCGCGAGGCATTGGTCGAGAAAATATCGGAAGGTTATTCGACTTCCCTATACTCGCCGCCTTCATCGCCGCCGGGATCACCTGGCCGTGGGGCCTCTGCATCTATTCCTACCATTCATCAACCGACACAGCCCGTAAGTCAGCAGAGCGCGCCTGAACTTTCGTTCAAGGTCCGAGAAGATCTCTTGGCGAACTGGAGTCGCGAAGACTGCTTGTCTTCTCACACGAAGGATTCGTCATCTGCTTCAATCTCTGGTTCCAAGACAGGTACTCATTACACAGCCGCCACGCAGAAGA